AAAAAGAAGTTAACATGCCAGCATGATGGTGTGGCCAAAACTCTACTGACACCCCTGGCTGCTACACCAAGATCTTTGAACCACTGCCACAGGAGAGCAAAAGCTACATTTACTCCATGCTTTGTTTACCTTTGGAAAATCTTGCAGCTTGGATCCCGATTGTAGGATTAATTGGAGAGCTGCGATTTTTTGCTGTCCAGGAGGGGAAGGTAGCTGCTAAAAGAATAAATCCTCCCCCTTTATCCTAAAGTGACAGGCAGAACACAACCAGGCACACACAAGGTCAGCATGCCCTGCCTGAAATTCAGATTCCCAAGACTGATTACAGGCACCAATCGGACCTGTTGTTCCGCAATATTATGACAGAAGATCCAGCAGATCAAACATCTGGTATTTTTCTCAAGGGCCCAACGGAACAGAAAGTCGGGACTCTGGCCACGCCAAGATGCTTGGGTGTAAAGAGAGGAGTGAGAATCTGCATTTGGGAAATGTACAAAGTCACCTATCTTCGATGTAGATACCCTCTTGCCCACTCACACACAAACCATCACCCTTTTCCTCATCTGATGCCCCAGTGTGGGAGGTGGAATGAAACCAAGCTGTGTCTCCTGTTGCTCGCCAAACTGCCGGGATGCTGTTACCATGGGAATGCTTCCAGAATCCAGTTGCTAGGTGACGGAATTCCTTATAATGCAGAAGGACCGAACTTTTGCAAACTGCCACACAGGACAGATCTGCAGAGACAGAGCAGTTCCAGGATGCTGGTCGTGAGTCAGAAAATGTACTTTAGAAAGGAAACGAACGAGCTCATGATTTCAAGTGAGGACAGAAACATTTCAGGGCTGAGAGCTTTACAAGAAAAGGGCTGTTGAAATATGCCAAGTAGCAATAGAAGAGAATATTTGTAATTCAGGGTTCCTCGGTGCTCTCTGGGTTTGGGTCTTTTCTTGCAGACGTTTCATCACCCAACTAGGTAACATCATCAGTGCTAGAAGGGTTTGAGAGAAAACCCCAAGCTCAGAGAGCACCAAGCAACCCACAGATTTCTGAGTTTTAGCATCTTGTCCCAAAGAAACCTGCTTGAAACCTGGAGTTCTCCCCCCCGAATCAAAAGACGAGACACTCTTTTTTAAATATTCAACATTTTTATTAAAAGATTTCTCACCCCGCCCAAAGCCTCTCCCATTGGTAGCCTTCTAGAGAGCAACCAACTCCACCTTTGCGTTCTCCTTCCATGTTTGCTCTCCTGTGTAAGATTCAAGCTTCCCCACCCCTCCCTTTTTTATTTTAAAAAGTGTTTTATTTTCTAATACATTCCATAGGACACATATGTCTAAGTTTCCCCGCAACATTTTTCTTCATATATAAAAAAAGACATACATACACACACACACTCACATTAGTTTTTAATCACCCACACAGAGGGAGACAGGAAAAGAAAAGGGGGTGGGCGGGGCAGCACAAACAAACAAACAAAAACAAAAGAAAAAAACAGGAAGAGGAAAACTGTACATGGGGGAAAGTTATGGCACCAAAAACAGAAAAAAAAGATTATTATTTTTTTTGTTAGAAACATAAGGATTATTATAATACATCAAGCCCCTCCAGCCGTATCCCTCCCTGTAACCCCATTTCTCAGTCCCAGGCAGGCAGGAGAAAGAAATCACTAAACATCTTGAAGTCATCAAAGATTCCCCTCCTTCTCCTCCTCCTCCCTCCCACCCTCCCCTCTTAAACAAAGGGGGCCTGATTCAAGTAGAAAATGGACTTGCCAAATCTGGGAGAGGGTTCTGGGAAAAACCCACCAGACAAGTTGACAGTGGAGGCAAACTTTGAGCCCAAGGATTGTGTTGGGGGAAGGAGCACTGTGGAGATTTGGGGGAAAAAAAAGAAAGGGGGATTTGTGAATTAAGTTGTTATGTTTGGTTAGGGAAGAGGGAGATGTGCTTCAGCTGTCTTGCACTGGGGGGGGGGGGCAAAATTTCAGGCTCTTGTGCAAGAACAGCAAAACCTCACACGCTTGAATGTTTTTAAGAGGAGGAAGAGATGAACTGGCTTGGCCCTTCCAAGAAACTTCGATTCTGCCGTCACAAATTTGGGCTCTTCTCATTTTGCGCATGGGATATCTTGCAATACCCCCCCCAACTGCTCTGAATGATTTTCTAGAAGCCCATGTTTGAATGAGACAAACATCCTCTCTGCTTATTAGGACAGATGCCTCTTTCTAGGGCTCCAGAATTACTTCTCCTCCACTCCCATTTCGAAGGGTTGAGAAACTTGAAACTTTTCTCTGCAAAAAAAATACATGTGGTTCTTTGTGAAATGGGTAGCATTTTTCCTCCTGTACCTAGCTAATCTGAGCTTTATTTACATAAACAGCAGATGGGAGCTGGTGAAATCCTCACTTTTGCTCACTTTAATAACTGGTCAGAGTCAGCCTAGTTAGATGCCCCCCCCCAAACAGGGAAAATAATTGTAACGCATACAAACTAGTGTCTCAGAAGTCTACCTCACCTGACATCTAGTTTTCCAATGGGCATTTTAATTTACTCAGAATTCTCCCACTTGCAATTTAAAACAGGAAAGTTCGTCACCACTTTTCCCATCGTATCTGCTGCCACCGGATAGGACCTTGACGTTCTTGTCGGATGGAACTCTCTGCTGGATTAACTGCTAGAAGAAAAGAACTTTCTCCTGGGCAGTCCTCAGTACTGGCCACCATATATTATTATTTAAAATTCAAACACTTTAGTGTTGTGAATGAATATGAGCCCATGCTTCAGAATTTGCAAGAACTGCAAAAAATCTTCCTACAACAGTCTTGCTGACCCTGATGCCCTCCAGAGAGGTTGAGCTGTAGTTCTCTTTAGCCGTCCTGGCTGGGGTTGATGGAAGTTGCAGTCCAACTTATCTGGGGAACATCAGGCTGGTGAAGACTGTTGAGGTTTCTAGATTTTAGTGGGGAAGGGGACAGGAAGAGAATGAATCCCAAGTGACCCTCATTACCAGATTAACTTACCCTCATGAAAGAAACTGGGTTTTTAGTTCTCTAGTTCCTGTAAAATGCACACCCTTTCACAATATTGATTTCAGCCTTTGACAGAGGACTAAAGAAGGTCAGGCAAATCTACTAAATAGGAAAGTTACGCAATTTAGTAAACCTTTCAATCGGCTGATGGGACCATTTCGGTCTCATCCTGATTGTTCTTAGGTTAATTAATCTGCCTTTCAGCGGAAAGGGAGGCTCTGTTTTTCAGCCCGGAGTAGAGATAGCTGGCATTCAACATCATTTATTAGGTCAAGTGGTCCCCGATCTCAAACCTTGGATAAACAGCCTTGAGGTTTGATCATACTGGGTTATTCTGTAATTTACAGAATGGATGTATGGCTTGAGAAGGAGAATGTGTAGGAACACAGGAAGAAATGAGATGACAATGGCACTGTGTACAATCTGAGCCAACCAAGTAAAACACTCGACTCAGCTGGGTCCCTGAACTCTGCAACCGAATCTCTTATGTGCAAATATGAACCCAGGTCTGCAGAGCTGCAGATTGGAAGAGACTAACATGAGCAGGGAAGGTGCCAAGGGGGTGATTGGTGACAAATATGGAGAAAACAAAAAGGCTTGAAAATGGTAAGGTGGGCAAACTGCATCTAGAACAACTTGGAGGAGGTAATTTCATATAAAGGTTAGTTGCATAAGCACTAAGCTAAATCTCTTCCAGAAATCTAGATTGTGATCAGGGAACTAAATGTGCTATATGTGCGTGTTTGGGGAGAGCTCCAGTCCAAAGCCCCTTGTTACAAGAATTGTTAATTGTTGGATGCTTCTTCCATAAGAGAGGAGAGCGAGAGAAGAAAGACAATGTTATAAGCTGAAGGGTTGACCGTTAACAGATGATGCCCAGACTAGGGTGGTCTTAGGGACACATCTCAAAACAGACAGTGAGGTTGTGGATGGAGGGCACTGATTAATATCTACATTCGGATCATGATCGGGATAAAAAGAGTTGAAAACCCATTTGTTCTCCCAATCATGCGGGACCAGCATGATGCCAAGACAGTCTCCAGAGCTGGAGTAGGCCCCTGATTGAGAAAGAGAAGGCAATGCAGATTAAGAGCCCAGAGTAGCCTGTCCTATACATTTCCCTCTCCCGTCCGTGGGCTAGAGTAAGTTAAGGAAGGTACACAGAAGCAGATTAAATTCTGTCATCTCCTCCTGTCTGTGAATTTGGGCAGGAACAAAACCCAGTGTCTATGCCCAAGATGCAAAGTTCTTCACTGTCACTCTGAAAATTTCTAAGCATGCAAGATTAGCCCCACCATCAATGCAAATCCAGGATTCTCTCCAATTTCTAGGCCTGTTCGTTCCTCTTGCTAGCCAAGCTGACTTAAAGGAACCCCTGGTCTCGGGAGAGGAAGAAGCAGGGTTTCTGGCTGCAGCAGCTCCAATTACACCCACAAACAAGCCACAATGCACAATTAAAAATTCTGGATTTGTTGTATTGTGGGAGTGTTTTTCTTTTCCTCTTCTAAAGAGAAGAGACTATTCAGCCACACCCTGAAGAGATAACTTTATCTCCATTGCTGGAACACTATTCTTGGTCTGTCTTCATCTACAGATTGTGGCGATGCTGGGGGAGCAGCCGACAGCCATCAGGGACACAAGAATAGACTGCCAACATCATGTTCGCAGCTTCATTGTCTCTATCCATTTGGCGGGGGATAGAAAACCACGATCGGAGGAGGCCCCAGCTATGCTCCAGAGGACGAGAATTCAACCTTCCATCTCACAGTCAAACCTTCTCCTGGTGATTGACAACTCAAAAGGCTACTGATGATGACCGAGAGCCTTCCACTGTGGTCCAGTTTCACAGCATCTCCCATTTTTGTTTTTTTAACTTATCGACCCCGGATAACATGCCCCGCCTCCCTCCCTTTTTCACCAGCCAATCCCCCATTTGCCTCCAGCCAAGTCTCCCTGTTCTCTACCAATCACTTCACGAGTAGGAAAAATGTGACCCGTTGAGGATGTGAGAAGTGACGCTGGCAGAGCGGCTGATGCCCTGGTCCGACTGGCCGCCAGAAGCTGTGCGCCGCAGGGGTTGGGGGCTGTTCCTCAGCATGACCACATTGGAGCGGCCACTAGGAGCCGAGGAGGAAGAGGAAGAGGAGGAGGGGGATGAGGAAGGGGGATGAAGCCAGGCGGAAGGGGGCGGGGCAAGCATGGGAGGCTGCCTCCATGCGTGAGGCGCACCAGCTGTATTCTGAACTCCGTGGCTCCAATGGGAGCCGCTGCGGGGAACCGGGCGGGAGGGCCAGGGTTGGGGAGGGGCCGTGTAGCCTTGGTTGAAGGCTTCAGCTGGAATGCCTGTGAGTGCCATATTGCTGAATCCCAGACGCATACTTTCAGAGTCGAAGGCCTCTATCTCCCGGGCCTGGCGCTCCAAGAGGCTGCGGATGCGATCGGAGCGTTCATTCTGCAAGGCCAACATCTCCTCCTCGATCTGGAGAAGGAAACAAAATCAAAAAATGCACCATGACCTCAAGGGCAAGAATCCACAAACACACTTGCTTGGACACCAGCACTTGCGCTGGTGAGAAGCAGCCCTTTGTCTCACTCGGTAGCCAGCAAGGATAATCTTCTGTTTACAACCATTTGTTTAGTGGCCATTCGAAGTTAACAACGGATCTGGAAAAAGTGACTTAAGACCGGTTTTTGCACTTAGGACCGTTGCAGCATCCCCATGGTCATGTGATCAAAATTTGGGCGCTTGGCAACTGGCATGTACTTATGACTGCTGCACCGTCCTGGGGTCATATGAACACCATTTGTAACCTTTCCAGCCCGCTTCCGACAAAGTCAATGGGAGAAGCCAGATTCACTAAATGACTGCATGATTCACTTAACAACTATGGCAAAAAAGGTCATACAATGGGGCAAAGGTAACCTGCTTTGCTTAGCAACAGAAATTTGAGGCTCAGTTATAAGTCGAGAAATATCTGTACCAAGATTATTGAAAACTGGATTCAGTAACAACATCCTGTCTTTAAGACATGCAGGAAGTTGGATAAATTGCTTAATGAGGAACTGAGACCTAGCACTTAACACTTATCTGTCCTAAATTAGAGGTAACAGAGATTCCTGGCACTTGTCCCCAAAAGAGGATATGGGATGTGGCATCTGTACTCAGATCCTCACAGTTTCAATCCTGCAACTTCATAGTTGAAACTAAAGAAGCAATAAAAATAACGGAGATAGGACTTTTAGCTCAGATTATTTTTTTAAAAAAAAACACCACTTCAGAACAAAGCAACCCCATTTGCAAGAGATTTGCATTCCTAGGAATGCAAATTCCTCAGGAATTGAGGAATTAAAAGTGAAATAATTGCTTTTGTCATGCTAGAGTGATCCCGTGAGAGAACTTTTGCAAAGACAGGAGGAGCGTGTAATTGGAGTGCCCCGAATAATGCTTATTCCCAACTATTTTTCTATGTAAAAAAAAAAGGCATTTAGTGCTTTATGAAAACACAGTTCAGCATTGTTTTGCTGCCACAGCTGAAATCATCTTGGCTACTAGGAAACAGAAGGTATATGTCTCTTGTCATTCAGAATTGTGGACACCCCACAAAACCTGACCCATGAATGCCTCCGATTCATGTAGGACAGGGGTTCTCAATCTTGGTAACTTTAAGACTTGTGGACTTCAACTCCCAGAATTCCTCAGCTAGCTGAATTCTGGAAGTTGAAGTCCACAAGTCTTAAAGTTGCCAAGGCTGAGAACCCCTGATGTAGGAGGAAGAGGAGTTCTAAATCCAGAATAGAAAAATGGCATTTGAAAATGGTTGGGAGCAGAAGGAGAGAAGTAACTTCATTTCAATAGCCGCAGAAGTACAAAGCTACCACTGATCTGAAGAACAGAAAATAGAAGAGGATAATCCTAAAATTCCACTGAGTTTTTCTTACTCAAAGCAGCCATACAGATAGTGCTCGACCTGCAACCATTTGTTTAGAGACTATATGAAGTTACAACGGTACTGAAAAAAAGTTACTTCTGACTGGTCCTCGCACAAGACAATTGCAGCATCCCCACGGTCACGTGATCAAAATTTGGGTGCTTAACCACCAGGATCTCTTTAGGATGGTTGCAGCATCCCAAAGTCACGTGATCGCCATCTGCAACCTTCCCAGCTGGCAAAGTCAATGGGGAAAGCCGGATTCTCTTAACAGCTGTGTTATATACTTCACAACTGCGGTGATTTAACAACCATGGCAAAAAAAGGTTATAAAATCACGTGGGACACCCTTAATAGCTGCCTTGCTTAGCAATGGAAATTCTGGTCCCAACTGCGGTTGTAGGCCGAGGACCACCTGTATGAAATCCTCCTCAATCACAGTACAGGTAGTCCTCAGCTTACAACAACTCGTTTACTGATGACAACGGCACTGGAAAAAGTGACGTTTGACCATTTTTCACACTCATGACCACTGCACCATCTCCATGATCACGTGATCAAAATTCAGATGCTCGGCAACTGACTCATATTTACGATTGTTGTGGTGTGCTGGGAATCATATGGTCCCCTTTTACGACCTCCTGATAAGCAAAGTCAATGGAGAAGCCAGATTCACTTAACAACCATGTCACTATCTTAAGTTACTACGTTAAATGAGTCACTTAGCAACTGTGGCAAAAAAGTTGTAAAACTGGACAAAACTCACTTAAACAAACATTTCACTTACCAACAGAAATGTTGGGTTCAGTTGTGGTTGTAAGTTGAGGATTAACTGTATACTATTGTTATTCCTGCTCTACTTTCCATGGAAAACGAAAAGCAGGAAGGACTAGCATTACTGAGTGACTTCACAGGCAAGGAGAGGCACTTTATGGCTCAAAGCACAGGAGAAGATCTGCTGAGTCAGATGAGAGGTCCAGGACAGGGGTCTTGAAACTTGGCCCTTTTATGACTCGTGGACTTCAACTCCCAGAATTCCTCAGCCTAGCTGAGGAATTCTGGGAGTTGAAGTCCACGAGTCATAAAAGGGCCAAGTTTCAAGACCCCTGGTCCAGGAGAATCCAGTAGCCTTTCTAAAACGACCAATCAGATCTCTCCAGGAAGCCAATGAACAAAGCATTACTGACATGATGCCTTCAGAATGCTGTTTTCTCCTTCATGAATTCCCACTGAAGAAACCGTCGCCACACCCAACAGGAGCAAGCCTCATAAAGCACTTTTTGGGGGGAGGTTAAGTCTTCAACAGCCCGACAGTTGGCCATTGCTAGAAACCTGGAGCTACTATCCTGTGCAGAAATGCTGTGACACGATTGTCTTTCTCCTGAATAAACAGAATGATTTCTACTTCTTTTATTAAATTTGGAGGCTGCCCAACTCCAAATGACTCTGAATAGCTGATCCTTTAAAAAGCAAAGAACTATAAAGAGAGATTCCAGAATAAAAGTGGTTTCCATTCTTGATTGATTTTCGCACATACTTTAGGGCAGGGGTAGGCAACCTTGGCTCTTTTATGACTCTGGACTTCAACTCCCAGAATTCCTGAGCCAGCCAAGCTGAGGGGAAAGGGAGAGGTTTCCAAGCTGAGCCATGCTGGCTCAGGAATTCTGGGAGTTGAAGTCCACGAGTCATAAAAGAGCCAAGGTTGCCTACCCCTGCTTTAGGGAAAGCTGATCAAGCTTTTTCAAAAGGAATTATCTGTACACTACGATCAATATGAACACCATTCAACCACTGTGATTTTTCTGTTCCAGAATGTAGTTCACGGGGGAATATCATCCACAAAGCCCAGAACAGCTCATCTCAGACTACAGCCTGGAAAGTGAAATTATTTACACTACAGTAATTAAGAGTGCTGATTCTCACAGGGCCTCTGAAGTGATTATGGATTAGCAATGGATAACTTCTTGCCTGGAGACACAGTGTGAGGTCAGGTCTCAAGGACAAGGATTCTGTTCTAGGCTGCCAGGTGGGGACAGTGACATCCAAAGGCAAAAAGAAAAAAGAAAGAAACCAGGAATGTCAGTATGAGGGGTCAAAAAGGGATATCAGAAAGTCCTCTTTGGCTCAGGCTGTTCCAAACCCCCTGAAGCCCCACCCACTTTTTTATATATATGGTCTCCAACAGTTTCTTCGAGGGACTGTAGCACTCAACAGAAAAAGCTAGTTCATCTTTAGTTTAGTACTAGTTTAGTTTAGTACTAAGAGAATAAATACCTTAGATTTGCATGGTGGAGAACAATTCACATCTGGGACCTCTTGAGTGGGATTGAAAATGGGGCCATGGATCTGGGTGGGTGCTGCAATATCTCTGGACCCCAAGCTCCACAGGCTTTTTCCTGGAGAGGCAGGGAGAGCAGGAAATACTTACTCTTTGCTCTAGGAGGGCCCTGCGGATAGACACCCGCTGCTCCAGCTCCTTGATCTCACGTTCATGCTGGGCCTCGGTGTGGATCTTGATTTTGCTCTGATAAGCGTTCAGCAGCTCAAGCTCCTGCTGCAGCTGCATCCTTAGGACTTGGTATTCTGCCTCTTGAGTTTCATCCAAACGCAGCTAGGAAGAAAGGAAGAAGGCGACATAAGGCCCTGCACTACAAAACCCATCCTTAGGATAGAATGGTTCTTAAAAGGACAAGACTAGCTTGGCCTCCGAGTCTTCATAATCCGTGCTTCCTATGCTTCTGGAATGGGCCCTGGCCTCAAACTATTACAGGGGACTCCGTCTGGCCTGTCTGCTTTGCATAACTGTTGCTGGGGGGCGGGCTTGCTACCTCAAGATGATTATATATCGAAACTCCTGTTTGTGGTAGGGCTCCCTAGTTGACAACGGCTAAAAATTCTACTAGCTGAGCATCTCCTATCTCAACAAAGGACAATGGGTACCTCTGGGATTTGCCTATTCTGTTTGGGAAGCACCTCCTACCTGCCCCAATAAAGAGTCCATTTTAATACCAAGCAACTGCTGTCATGTTCACGTTGCTTATGGAGTCAGGAGATCAAAGCTGATATTCGTTACGCAATTATGGCAAAGGGAACTCTATTAGCCCCAGAACTTTAAAACTAGTCACCCACCTCAGAAGGGGTTTCTTTGGGAGTGAAGATGCTACAGAGAAAGGCATGCTTCGGAGCCCTGTGAACAAGGGCCCCATTGCACAATGGACATTGTGGTTTGGCAGCCAGCCTCTTTGCAAGGAAGCCTTGGGGGGACTACAGTTTGGGGAGCAAGCAATTACGGCTCTCTAAAATGTGGGCTATTCTCAGCATCTTCTCTTCCATTGTTTCTTTTGGGAAAAAACAAGACAATTAAACTGGTATAAAATCAAAGCAATGTTTTAAGGATAAATCATTCTCTCGGGCTTTATTCAAGGTAGATTAAATTCTACCTCAAGGGGTCAACCCATATCCAATGGGATTGGTCATTTTATCTCCAACTTTTGCTGGCCAAAGCTGGGGGAAGGGGGATGAGGATGGAAAGAAAAACTGAAAGAAGAATTGGTTGGGGTCTAGGATTCAAAGCATGGTTGGAAAACGCTCTTCTCCGTGGACAGAGGAAGGGCCGACTCCTCCCTCTCTCCCACCCAGGGGGAGGGCAGCGCGGGGTACCTACGGCCTGGGTGGAGAGCATTTCATTGATGCTGTGGTCGTACTGCTCGGCTAAGATGGCCAGCTTGCGGGTCTGCTCATCCTTCAGACGCTTGAGGATCCCCTTGTGCTCGCTCTTTGGGGTGGTCTCCAAGAGGTGGTTGCGAAGGGCCTTGTATTGCCGCGTCTGGATCTTACAGGTGTCCTGAAACTGCTTTTTAATTTGCAGTTCTTTGGACTAGGGTAGCAAGAGGAGGAAGAGGAGAAAAAGGGGGAAAACAAGAAAACAAAAACAACAATGCCAGTGACCAGAGGAGAGAGAATGAGAATTGCAAATAAAGAACAAATGCAAAAGGAAGAAAGGAAAGAGAGAGAAAGAGAGAGAGAGAGAGAGAGAGAGAGAGAGAGACAGGAGCATGTATTAGACAAACAACTCCCACCAGTGGGGTTTTGGTGGGAATAAACGAAATCTAGTTTTACCTAGTAGTTTTACCATTTTCATGTTCCCACTTCAATCAAAGTAACATCAATATGAAATAGTTTCAGCCCAACCAAATAGCTTTAATGGAGTGAAAAGATGCCTCCTGTATTGTAGCTTGATGAAAAATAACAGAGTTGGAAGGGACCTTGGAGGTCTTCTAGTCCAACACCACCCCCCAAGTAGGAAACCCATAGTATACCATTTCAAACAAATGGTTGTCCAATCTCTTCTTAAAAATTTCCAGTGTGGGAGCATTCACAACTTCTGGAGGCAATCCACTGATTGTTCTTACTGTCAGGAATTTTCTCCTTAGTTCTAAGGTCTTAGTTCTCTTCTTGATTAGTTTCCATCCATTGCTTCTCATCCTGCCTTCAGGTGCTTTGGAGAATAGATTGACCCCCTTCTCCTTTATGGCAGCCCCTGCTATCATGTCACCCTCCAGTCCTTCTTTTCACTAGACTAGACATACCCAATTCAAACTAGAAATACCCCAAATGGGATTTGCCTCATGAAACAACAATGCAGTATGCATTGGCTGACATTGCCCGTGAGGTAGCTTCAAGTAACAGGACCAGGAGGGCTTTCTTTCTGCCTAAAACCCCATAAGGGTTAAATGGCATAAGGCTGCATGGAAAAAAACAACGGAACGAGTTGATGAAGAAGCTTCATATATGCCATTATGCGAGGATGGCAACCTTGGCTCTTTTATGACTCGTGGACTTCATAGGTCCTAGTGCCTACCCCTGCACTAGGACAATGGGAACAGGAGGGGAGACCCGCTAGAAATTCTCTACAGAAGGTGCAGGTAGTCCTCGATTTACAACCATCCATTTAACGACCATTCAAAGTTACAACGGCGCTGAAAAAAGTGACTTACAACCAATCCTCACACTTACGACTGTCACTGCATTCCCACGAACAAAATTCAAGCGCTTCGCAACCAACATTTATTACAATGGTGGCAACGTCCTGAGGTGATGTGATTGCTATTCGTGACCTTCCTTGCTGGCTTCCGACAAGCAAAGTCAATAGGGGAAGCCGGATTCACTTAATGGCTGCACGATCCACTTTAACAACTGCAGTGATTCGCTTTACATCCGTGGCAAAAAAAGTTGTAAAATTGGGTACGGCATAGTTAACAACTGCCTTGCTTAGCAATGAAAATTCTGGTCCCAATTGTGGTCATAAGTCAAGGACTACCTGTATTATGAACTGAGAAGCAGCTAAAGGGTAGTTCTAGCTAGTTCTCCCCAGTGCCCTTGATTCTATTTCCTATTTATCTATGTTTGGCTGACAGCCAAAAATGCTCCAGGAGAGAAATTTACCAGGGTCCTGCTTGCTCAAGAGGACTTAAACCTTGGACAAACATTCAGTAAATATTTGCTTGTTTGTTTCTTCCCGAGTTATCAATGATCATTCCTGAATATAAAAAAGCACAAATGAATGATATGCCAGATTCTGAACTATATACGCACACCTTGATGTGTGCCAAACAACTGCGTGTTGCATGTCTGTGGAGATTCTCTGTCAACCAACAGTCAGTTGGCTCAAAGGTGCTTTTTCAAAAGGCCACTGGACTGTTTTTTCCTTGAGGAAGAAGTACAAAACGTTTGAAACTTCATCATTTCTGATGGCGGGGGAGGTGTGGAAGGATAGGTGCTGATCAGATGGTGGGGGTAGAAGGATTGCATTTCTTTGAAGTCATCTGGTCATCAACACTCTCCCTGAGAGCTCTTCAGGCCATTTGGGGGCTTATCTTTGCCCTCAGAGTCACCTGAAAGAGAGTGCAATTGGTTGTGGATCACCTACCTCCAGTCTACAACGCAGCCCTTGCAGCAGTTCCAAGAAGACTCCACAACCAATTGCACTCTGATTCCAGTGAGCCTGAGGGCAAAGATAAAACTCTCAAGCGGCCTCAACAGCTCTCAGAGAGAGTGCTAACAACCAGATGACTGCACAGAAATACAATCGTTCTGATCCCCCTCCCTCCCTCCCGCCCATCCAGTCAGAACCTATCCCCAAAATTCAGTGTCAACTGTCAGTACCTATCCTTCCATCCCCCGCCCCCCACAATCACAACTAATGAAGTTTCTTGAGTGAGAAATGAAACATTTTGTCCTTCTTCCTCAAGAAAAAACAGCTTTGAAAAAGCAGCTTTGAGACAACTGCATGTTGGTTTTTCTAAAAATGCTAAAGTGGAAAATTTTCAGGGGCAAAAAATTTTCAGTGCAAATTACCATAACTGTATAAAAAATGACATCATTGCAGCTCTACATCATGGTCTAAATATAGACTGTAGGTGATATTCTCAACACCCATTCCCTAAAGAGCTGATGGCTCTTCATCCTCTATCCTGCTATGCAACAGAAAATATTCTTCATTCTCATGTTGAGGGTTGGGAAGTTTCTACAGGATACTTTTTGAAGACTTAGCTCCGTTGGGGGTAACCTGCACACACTTTAAAAATGTCCTTTTAGGTCTTCTAATCTAAACACTATCTAGGTCCCTTTCAAAATACATGTTGGAGAAGTGGAAGGAAGGATGAGAGAGCAGCTTCAGCATTAAGATTTCAAATGGAAATTGACATCACATTTTGCCTAGCAAAACCAAAAATATTATTTTTAGTCATCGACAGAACAAACTCAGCTATAGGCTGATTTTGAGAGACAAGAGTCTCTCATACAAAATGTTATGATGGACCCAAACTTCATACATTCGACAAAAATGGACCTGCAGTTACAAAGGACAAATGTCATTAATGATTTTTGAATTTTGGAAAAGTTCGGTTCTTTGGCTAGGCCTTTTAGTGATTTATTGGTTTGTCAGCCAGGCTAAAAAAAACAGTCACACCAAACAATTCAGTACAGAATTTGAACCACCTACTAGAGTTTAAAATAATTCATGAAGAATGCTTACATCAGTTTTTCCAATTTGGTGCATTCCAGTTATGTGTGGACTACAGCCCCCATTATCCATGCTAAATTGACCACATGGAAAGCGCAAAGGTAGGGAAAGTTTTGCGCAAAAGTTGATGTATCGGGCAGGAATTCACTTGACTATCACAAAACGTGATGCAGGAGATGGGGCTAGTCCAAAGTACATGGTTTGTTTGTTTTTAATACAAGCTATGTTTCCAATTGTGGTGTGAATTTTGGACACACAGAAGTGAACTTTTGAGTTGCCAAAGAAATGCTATTCTCTTTTTATTTAAACAGAGTCTAATACACCCCAAAGCTCATATTGATGAGCAAAATGTTTATTTCCTTGCATTTCTGATGACATCCCTCATATCAAAACCCACTCAATCACCTGTAATTTATGCTACGCCTAACTGCTTGAGGCTTCTTGCCTCAAGAGCAATTCTTTCATGGCTACAATCTTTCATCACTCTTTGGACAACATCTAAAATGACCCCAAACCACAAATGGTGTGGGGGGGAAATTGTCTAGATTACACATTTTTCACCTATGTATGTTATTTTAATTCATTTCATGAACACCTCATGCTTGAGAGGTCATAGAGAGAGAAATGAGGTACTAGGAATTAGTGCCTGGCTGAGGAATTTTGGGAGTTGAAGTCCACAAGCCATAAAAGGGCCAAGTTTGAAGACCCCTGAATTAAGACAACAGTGGAATGTGGAAGAACAGACCTCCACTTACACCCTCCAAATAATTTTACTTTTGGAAATCTAAAAGTACATCACTTGAGGATATTTTGTGACACAGAGTACATGAAAATAAGACATATAGCCCAGCTTTTAAGTGCCCTATTTTCTTAAAAATCAAATCACATCAAACTCAAAACTCACAATACAGAGGTGGTGACTTGTGGTGCAGAATTTTTATTTCTTTTTCCTTCAAAATTTCACATGCATCCACAACAGGGAAGGGAGAAATAAATAAACCACAGAAGAATGTCCCCCCCACACAAAATGGGAGAAATAAATTAAAAATATTTAACATAGTTTTTTAAAATGATGAAGATAGAGAAAAAAAAACAGTTCAAACACACAAAAATGGGAATACAAAATACATTATTAAAATGGACAAAATAGAATCTAGATTAATGAAAACAAGTTTGGCCAAAAAAAATAAAGGTTAAGAGGAATGCTAAAAAAATACACAAATCCATGGATGATGCAAAATTGGAATAAATTAAAAAAATCACAGATGAACCAAAAAAGGGAGAAATGCAAGGTATGTGCTTTATGCAAACATGGGACCAAAAGCCAGAATCAATGAACATGGAATTATATCTAATTTAGGATAATCTGAAATGTATTGATGGGTGAGGTTGCAAATTGGGAAGAGGGAACTGGACTAGCTACAACATGAATGGATATAAGAAACTGAAAAAATACATAGAAATGCTTAGAAGTAACCGTTCTAAAATTATGCTACCGAAATAAATAGAAATGAAGTCTGTTTCAAACTGATTAACTCTATAAAACTTGGTATTGACTGCAGTTGATGAAGAACTCAAAAAGACAAAAAATTTAGCCACGGCAAAACCAATTGTCTTAATTAACTGCTATTGAAACAAACAGGATTTATTCCCAAAGTCTCTTGGTGGTCAGTCGCATAAACATCCTGAGTGGGTTAAAAAAATACTGATTCTGTGATTATATATGTTTATATGGAATTCACTGAGCTTTTGGTTTTATTCCCTACCAAATAAATAAAACTTCTGAAAGCTAGTTAACCAACAAAATAACAAATGCAAACTAAACTGGAATTTTATGCAGCAGCTTCCCCTTATTCTTTGACAAAGTCATCCCAATGCAGGGGATTTCACAATTAAAATGGATCAAGATACTGCACTTATAAGATAAATATCTAGAGGGTATTTATCAGAAGAGAGGGACGGGTTGTGATAGTGCTTACCTGCTCAAAGTTTTTTTAAAAAAGGGAAAAAGGTGGATCCATACAAGAAAGCAGCACAAGCATTTGGGTTAGCCAGAACTCTCTGGCCTGGCTGTTAATTGGAGGTAAAAAACAGGCCTCTCCTCCCAGTGTGACAGGGTCACTAAGAAGCAAGCTGCAGGTGATTGGGGGGGAGGGGGACAAGCATGTCATACTAGCCAGTGAGGTATGTGTGTGTTAACACTTTCACCTTAAAGCTTAAGGAAATGTTTCTTGGAAATGATATGGTAGCAAAGTTTAAAAGAAGTATAAAAAGTGAAGGAAAGGGGTCTGTGATGTTATGAGGCAGTTCCCCCAAATGGGGCACACCATTCCTTGGAAGATAAGGCATATCTGGCCCCTGGGAAAGATAAGAAAAATGGAGCATCACAGTTCTGAGATCTGTCCCTGCACTTTAGAGATGGGTCTAGGTTTCCAGTTTTGTAAAAAAAAAAATATGAAAAGGTTGCTCTCTTATCTATAAGGCCTCAAACCACGCTGGGGGAAGCATTAAAAGACAAAACAACTTTGGTTTTTATGTAATTTAAAGAGGTTGCCTATGCCCTGGCTGCAGGAGACATACGTACAGAAACTTAAAATTTCATATTTAGTAATTTTTCTTCTCTTTGACCAAAATGCAACTGCCTATGCTAAAGCAAACCACCTCAATGCCAAGCCATTCACTTCAAATGCCAGCATGTGGTTTCTCATTTAAAAAGAAGAAAAAAGGGGGGGAAAAGCTACTGGATGGCCCATTATTGTTTCAAGTGAAAAAATCTACAGCAATAAGCTGTCATTTTATGAATTTCTCCCATTTTCAGTCAAATTGTATTGTTTAAAAAATGTATTAGCGCCCCTTTCCTCCCTCCATAAAAATATATATAAAACTTACCAACCTACCCACAAATACAAATATGTACATTCAAGTTCAAACTTTTAAAAAGGGGGATTGTTACATATATGGTGAAAAATGATAAATATATATATATATGTGTGTGTGTAAACATGCACACACACACACACATACCAATGGTGGAAATATATACCAACGGCGAAAGAATCACTTAAAACTAGGCAAACACTCAGGAGCTGAAAAAATTGGGTTTTCAAAACATGTTTAATTTCTCAAGCTTTCATTTCATTGTAAAGGGGGTTTCTTTTTTTCTGTGGCAGATGAAGAACTAATGTATTTTAGCAGGAATTGGAACTCAAAGCTTTTCAGAAGGTAAAAATGGCTTGAAATGAAGGCACGTATGTATGTCCTCACTGTGCAAGAGATGCTGAAGATGGGAAAAACAGCCATTACTGGATCTTTTAAATAGGGGTTACGAGAAAGAATTTGTAAGGATTGGCGAACCTGGAGCTCAACGTCTTATCCCAGATGATGGAAATAGGAAATATTTGGCCCTCCCAAATAGCTGACTCAAAAGGGATCAGGTGATTCTTTCCTCGTTCACACAATGGACACAAGACAACCCCCCCCCCCATCCATCCCCAATATATAAACAATCAGAGCTTGCACAAGGTTTGGTTCTCCTCTCTGCCCATATTAAAGTTTCTTTAATATGGGCACATATTAAACACATCCTGCCCAGAGCTTCCTGGTAACAAGACAGCAAAACATCAACAAACCTTGGAGGGAGGAAAAAAAATGGCTTTGAGAGTAAATACTGAAAAAGTGCTTCTGTCTGATTGCCCAGAGTTCCGGAAGCTGGCCCACGGCACGGAATATTGCATGGAAGAGACAGGATGCAGCAATTCAACTGGAATGGCTTGTTTCACAATGCTAGGCAAGGTGTAGAAACCCAAGGTACTGAGGGCGGTTATCTCCAGGGCTTCCTGACAGGGAGGGACTCACGCACACGACCACTACTTCTAGTCGACCGTCTCACTGGCCCGCTGGATCGGCCTCCGGGCCTGGCCGCACGGGCCACCAAGCAGGGGATACGGCTGGGCTTTTCCTCCCTCAAGACATACAAGCCCTTGAGGCAGTGAAGCATGGAAGGGGGCAGCTGAGCGCAGATCACCTTGGTGAGAATCCTGTTGAGGGTACGGATCGGTTTGGCAAGGAGAGAGAGGATCCGGTGGTGCCAAGGGAGGGATGGCTGCCACTGGCGGGATAGCACTGGGATACGACTCCGGAAGTTGCCTTTGTTTGTTTTGGGGAAGAGGCGGAAGAGCCCCTGTTCGCTAACCAGCCCCAGGCGCTGTAGGATGCGGAAAACCGGGCGTGGGAAATGCAGGAGAGCCAAGAGCAAAAACCGACGGGCGTGGCGGGGGAATCCCTTTAGAGTGCGCCTGGCCAGGGCCCCAAGGAGATAAAGGGGCAGGAAAACCCAGGGAGAAGCTAAGAGGTAGGAGGCCAAAAGAATGACCGGAACATACAGGCGCCCCCTGTTGGCACTCAACCCCACCACGCCCACCGTACCCCCCAACTTGATAAGAAGAAGAAAGGAGGACCCGGAGAGAAGAAAAACAGAGTGCAACAGGGTGTATGTAACCCCCAGGCCCACTAAGAATCCTTCAAGGGCCAGGAGGATATCTTGAAAACTGCCCCCCTGGGCCCAGAGAGCAGCGAGCAAAAGCAGGAGAGTGGGGGCACAAGGATATGCAGAGACCAACAAGGCCAAAGCCACACAGAGAACATGGGGCAGAAAGGTTGCCACAGGAGGGGCCCCTGGATGGGACTTGCCAGCCCCCTGTTGACTGTAAGGATCGTCACTGGCTGGGCAGCCATCACCTGATCCTCTCAAGGACCCCTCCTCAAGGATAGTGGGGAGAGACGGAGTGTACAAATCCTCTGTGCACAGAAATGGCTCTAGCTCATCATCGGCTTCTTGGCCATCAGGCTCGGGAGCACCTGGTCGCCCCCAGATTGGCAGCAGAGCCTCAGAAGCGTCTCTGCAGCCATCCAGCTCTCCAAGAAACGTCTGGTGGAGACCTACATCGGTAACTCCCTTGCTATATACTTCTTGCTGTTTTAGGCTTGCCATAGAATAGTCTAAAATCCACCCTTTGCTGCTTGACCCTAAGACATCGTGATCCTCCCCGTCAAGCCCGAGACACTCCTGTCTTTCCTCCAAAATTGCTGCTTCCTGCTCATCTGGAATTATATCTGCCATGTAGGGCCAATCTGGCTTCGCCTCTCCGCAATCTCTCATTTCTGACATCAAAGACTCTACGCCCTGATCCCTCAAGCCTAGAACGCCCTTCTGTGACCACTCTTGGACATGAGACCCAGCATGCACTGCTTCCAGCTCTGGAGTTTCCTCCTCTTGATTGCCTTCCTGGACCACCTGTTCGTGACTGTCTAGCGCAGGCTTAAAAATGTTCTTTGTATATGTATACTTCCCTAAAAGGTCTGGATATTTTCTTCCCACATTTACTACCTCAGCTTCGCCCTGAGTTGACTCCAAAACCTCTCCAACATGTGTGCCATCACCTGGATCATCACAAACACAATCTGATTCCAGGACGTCCAACTGACATCCTTTGGGATCTAGATACTCAGTGGGCACGTATTCCAAATCTGCCAGATGCTCATGATCCCCCGCCATACTGTCACAAGGATCACACCCACCCAAAAGGTCCTGTCCAAAGTCTAGACTTTCAGCCTCATATCTGTCCATTTCTGTCACCCACGAGTGCCCCTGCCCTGACTCCAGAATTCCCACAACCTGCCCTTCCGGGCACAACTGGCAGCAAGGCGGGGTGTAGGTAGCACCTACTTTGAGGCTTTTAGGCTGTTGCCGGACCTCCATGGCATGCTTCTGGCGCAGTTCCTGTTCACGACGTTTATTGTATTCCAGCTGGTTTGACAGCTCAGTTTGGTGTTGCAGACGGGTAAGCTCTGTGCGGGTACGCTGGACAGTATGAAGGTGACGAAATTCCAACTCCTGGGTGGACTCATGCTGGCGCAGCAACATGGCACACTCCAGGTCCTTCTGTGTTTGTTTCTTGTTCAGTTCCTGGAGGTGGGGGATGGGGAAAGAGAGCAGTCAGAATGTCATGTTCCATAAAGAATATCTACGGTTCCAATACATATGAAATACTCAGCATTTTTCTTTCTTTTGTCCAAAGACTTCCAGTGACTTCCCTCTTCTCTAATGGCCTGACGACAGCAACTCTTTTTCATTACCCTTGGGCAGTATCCTATTTGCATTAGTGAACAGTGAGTGAGTGATTAAAACTAGAAGCTGTACCCTGTAAAACTCAGCCTCACAGTAGTTTCTAATCCTTATGGTTTGTGAAAGATGTCAGAAAATGGTCATCACCTGAACTTGGAAGGATGCAAGCATGAGAACTGGATTTTAAGTGTTTTGAGAGCTGGACATGCGGTTGAAATGGAATTAATTCATTTCTTAGTAATTCTCTCAAATAGAATTGCTTCATTCCTAGCCACTCACTGGGTTCACCCTTACACAAAAGCAGTAATCTATGGTTAATGGATGGATGTGGATGATTGGGGATACAACAGCTGTGTGTCCCCGTCCCCCATCTCTAACCTTTTTCCGTGTCAAAATTTATTAGTTTCTCAGAATATAAAATATAAAACACAGAAGAAAATGAAAACAATGGGAAACTAGGGGAGGGGAAGAGGAAAAAGTGTGGGGTAGAAAGTGTTTTCCCCCCCCCAACCTCCTCTTTTTGAGAAGGTGGCTGAGCTAGATCTTCATGGGGCTTTGGAGAAAAAGTTATCTAGCTACCTTCCAATCAGGATTCGGAGTTAGGACATACTTTTAGACCTGAGAGAGCTTTGGCTACACCTGTTGACCACTAGAGGAGAGAGAATTGGGGAGGCCAATCATTCTTTTTGGTCTCCCAGCAGCTTTCGATACTATCAGCCATGATATCCTTCTGGACCATCTAGGGATTGGGAGTGGCTCTCCTCCTTTCTCTGTAACTGGGTTTAGCTGGTGTTGGCAGAGAGCTCAAGCCCAAGACTTTCGACACACAGGGTGGATTAGATCTCAATGCACCTCACACATACTCCAATGTAGTAGCTACACAGGACTGCACTGATTTGGGGTCAGATATCATGACTGATTATGATCTCCAACTGTTACGTCTTGACTCTGGGCTGACCAGGTGATTATCTCAAGGTCTTGTTCCACTCCTTGAGGCTGTGTAGATGTAGATGGGTAGAAACACCCAACCCTGAGAAGACCAAGTGGTTTTGAGTATGTGGACTACCCAGGTCTGGAGATATTCCATCTTTAGTCTTGAAAGGGCTAATACTTCCCCCCTTCGGGACTGTAGCACAATTTGAAGATCTTCATGGACTCACAACTGCTCAAACAGCTGGTGGCAGTTGTGGCCAGGAATACATGAAAGCTGCATTTACCAACAGACTTCCAGGTGCAATTTAAGGTGCTGCTTATCTCTCTTCCTCTCTCTTTCTAAAACTCTCATTTCCATAACCTTTAACTGGGTGAAATGATGCTTTAGGCAACTATTTTTGAACCAAGGCTCCCCATATGGATTAATTTGCATAAAGTATACAAAATTAGAGACCTGCAACTCCCATGGAATTGAAATTTGGCAAATTTTAAAAAAACATTTTATGACATCAAAATTATCATAAAACAGTTTATGACATAATACATAATGTCATAAAATATTTCCTGTGCTGATGTCTGATTGTGCTATACAGTTCAACATGGGCAATTTTTCCAGTGAAGACACTACATTAGACCTTCTGCCATTCAGGAATCTGGTAAGGAAACATCTCTGAAAGGATGACCTGATGGGTCACCGGTTGTCTAGTTACCTATAAATGTCCTTCGTGGCATGGCGGATTATCTGCTCATCCCATGACTAGCTACAGTCAACATGTTCTGGTTCCTATTTATTCAGACAATGTTATCCGATGGGACCAAAAGAGTCGGGGCTTTGTCTTCTAAAACAACCCCCCAAGAGTCATACAGCCTCCAATCTGGCACAATTTAAACAAAACCTGGCTGTTCTCCAGGCCTTGGACTAAAGTTGATGGCAGACTCCTCTTAATTAGGCTGTGCTATTTTTCTCTGAACGGTTTCTATATATGGTTTTGTATTGTAATATTTTAAATGGTTTAATATTATACCCTGTGGAGAGTTGCTATGGAATTGGGTGGCCTAACTTCATTTAATTAGTGGACATTTAATTAATAAATAAAGAGCTTGCAAAGGCAGACATTCAAGTAACCGTTCATTATGCCAACTCTTTCCAAAGAGATACGGGTGGAAAAATGGGCACACAATTTAGCCTGCCCAACACATCCACCCCCCAGAGTACATCTCCTGCAGTTTTGCTTTTCAAACATAGACCAACATCCCCTTCCTGCTCCCACCAGGCACCAATTACTGGTCCCCACCTCCCGCAGCAAATCTTGGTCCAAGTTATGGCGTGCCAGCAGCATCTTGCGTTTGTATTGGCGGCATTGTAGCTCAAAGTATTGCCGCTGGCGCCGCAAAAGGTTGGCCTCTTCTTCAGCCTGATAGTGTTGCATATTCTCTTTTTGTCTCAGCAACCATTCCTGCTTTTCCCGCTTGGGTGTGCTCTGATTCTCCTGCAGCTCCTGCAAAAGGAATAGTGGGAAAAAGTGAACACTCCTTTGTTGGCACATTGAGCTAAGCTTTGGCTGTTGAAGGGCAGCATGTTCACAAACTGCGCTAACCGAGTTCATCCAACACGCTAACACACAATGCAGTACACCACTGAATTATGGTTAACGTGACGTGCAAATTTAGATGTGGGGAAGTACAGTAATCTCCCCTCCTACATTTGTGTACAAGACTGGAAAAAACTGTAGGTAGATTCCTCTCAATTTGGTCAGCCCAGGGATTTTGGAATACAGGTCTCATTATCTCTAGTTCACATACCAAGATGTATATTGGGGAAAGCTATCTTGACAAACAGTTTATGGCTGGAGGTAACAGGTGCAGAATTCCAAAAGAATGCTTGTAAAATATACCTGTGGGCAAGTGTTTGTTTCCTTTTTAATATACCATTTTGTTTTTGTCCCGGAGCAACAAAAAACATGGAGGACATAAAACCCCGACTTTCGGAAATGTCTCTCCATGTTCGCCACATTATATGTTTGCTCTGCCTATAAAAATCCTTATTGTGTGACTCTCAGGGAAACAATTCTATGCTATTTCTATCTTTTTCTTCAAAGATACAGGCTGCATACTTAGGAACTGTCAGCATGACAGCATAAATCTCACTTGGTTATTTCTGGTCTTTTAGGACATGTTATTTCCCACATATTCCTAAAGACCAGTTGAATATTTTATCTTCCCTTACAGAAGGAATTTGCAGCATTATATATGAAATAAAACAAATCAAAATAAGAAAGGCTTCATAGTCACAGGCAGAGGTAAGGTGGCAAATGGAACTTTGGAAAGTCAGCTGCCAACTATTATGGGATAATGAAGTTTGGCTTCCTGCTGCTATGTTTCGCCACCCTTCAAATCAGGGTACCTCTTTCAGCTGCTCCTTCCGTAATTTATATTGGCGCTTCTGTGATTCAAGTAAGTTGCCCAACTCCTTCTTCTGTTGACCCAAGATATGTTGCTGAAATTTTTTCTCTTCAGCCAGGGCAGCTTTTGCCTGCAGAAGTAGGAGGAGTGGTCAGGGTCACCAATGATGGAAGTGGAACAGAAAGACAGCTTAGCCATGCCTAGGCTTGCATGCATACTGACAATTTTGTACATAGTCAGAAGATAGCAATAGCATTTAGACTTAAGCACCACTTCACAACCTTTACAGCCCTCTCTAAGCGGTTTACAGAGTCAGCCTATTGCCCCCCAACAATCGGGGTCCTCATTTTACCAACCTCGGAAGGATGGAAGGCTGAGTCAACCTTGAGCCGGTGAGAATCGAACTGCTGAACTGCTGGCAGCCAACAGCCAGCAGAATTAGCCTGCAGTACTGCATTCTAGCCACTGCACCACCACAGCTCATCCAAAGGGGGAGAAAAACTAGACATTACTGCACATGTGACTAATAACCTTAAACCATCCTTTAGAGCAGAGGTCCCCAAACCCCGGGCTGTAGCCCGTTGGGAACCAGGCCTCTAAAGCGGAGGGTGAGTGCACAAAGTTTCATTTGCGCACATGCAGGATTTAGGTTGCATGTGCAAAATCATTCCCCCCTCCTGAAACCGCCAAAGCCACTGGCAACAGTTAGTGGAACCAAATAGGTTGGGGACTCCTGCTTTAGAGAGAATTGGGATTCCTAGTATGGGAAAGTGTACAATTCGACCTCTGGGAAGAAATGGCAAAAGGCAGTGGAATGAAGAGCCAGTGAGTAGATTGTCTCTTTGTAATTCCTCTCCGGACAAGGAGAGAACTTGAGATTGCCCACAGGTGTCCCCAACAGTTTGCTTCTCAGGAGGAGACCGCAAGACTGCAATCTCTGGTAGATTTAGAGCTCTGTGAGATGAGCTAGGAGCTATTAAGGATGGTAGGTTTGCATATTTCTTTATCTAATCACTTTTGGAAACTGCTTGTGGACTGCCGTTCAGCTATTAGGAATCTTTGGATTGGCTAGTTCAGGGATAGGCAACCTTGGCTCTTTTATGACTGATGGACTTCAACTCCCAGAATTCCTGAGCCAGAATTCTGGGAGTTGAAGTCCATCAGTCATAAAAGAGCCAAGGTTGCCTACCCCTGGGCTAGTTTTACAGCACTGGATGAGTTTCCTTCAATCCTTAGTGGGAAAAAATTTAAATACAAATTTAAGGACTTAAAATAATTCTTTTGGAATAAACAGCAAAATATGATTAAAATGTTGATTTTGGAAAGTTGCAAGTTGATGAAGGGCCAAAATAGATTTGAAGTAAAATTTGGGAATTAATTGCAAGAATCCTTCCTGTGGGAAGATTATTTTGTTTTGAATTCATCTAAAAAATCATGATGGAGTAAGATTGAAAGTTTAATATTAAAGGGAACCAAGAGGAGCTAATGATTATAATTAAAAAGGAACTTAAATTTGAGTTACTAATATAGAATGAGGCAAAAATTTTAATATGGGATACACTGAAAGATTGTCTGGAACAATGTCAACTTTACAAGTGTCTGCCTCTAGTTAGACCAGGGGTCTTCAAACTTGGCCCTTTTATGACTTGTGAACTTCAAGTCATGCCTGGCTGAGGAATTCTGGGAGTTGAAGTCCACAAGTCATAAAAGGGCCAAGTTTGAAGACCCCTGAGTTAGACTATTTCAAGGATGTTAGGAAAGAGGAACAGGTTTTACTTGACAAGAGTGAGACTGAGCTGAAAGTGGATTTAAAAATTACAGCTACAAGAATGATATGGAAAAAGATATTCTGGATATACAAAGAAACTGGCTAATGTCTTAATAATTAAAAGGGATAATATACTAAGAGAGTAATTTTCTTATACTCAATTTACCAAAGAAAGCTTTGAAGAATTTTGTAGAGGGGGAAAAAGAAAATATGAAAAGAAGTTAAGTTCTAGGACATTATTTGAATGGATCAAGATTGTTAAAAGGAAAGGGAAGGGATATCAAGTTGGCTTATTTGTTCGAGATTAAAATAGATAAGTTGTTGTCTCTGGAAATCCCATGGTGAACGTTTGCTGACTAGAACTGAAACGACAAGAGATGGGAAGCGGAAAGAAGAGAACATGTGCTGTATTTTAAGATAAGGTAATGAGTTACTAAAATTGTTTACACCTGTGATGAAGCAGAAGTATTTTTTGTAGTTTTTTTTATTATATTCTGATTTTTGTTTCTTTTCTATTTTTATTTTTTCCCCTTTTCTGCACTTTCTATATTTTCTTTGTATTTTATTTTTTTTAGTTGTATTAGTTTTTAATCTCTAATTGTAATTGCTAATAAAATTATTATAAAATAATTGTACAATTGGTACAAGGCATAACAACTTATTTCTTGACAACCAGCAGAATTGGTTTGTAAACACCCTTGTCCTTATTATTCAGTTCCTTGGGGGGGGGGGGGAGGATGTTTTAGTTTTAAAGAATAGGTCAGATCCAAGAGCAAACGGGTCTGTTATGATAGAACCTATTTCTGTTTGGGATAATTGATCTCCTTGGTTTCGATGGCAAGTTAATACTGGTCTACCAAAATGACCAGATTACTGCTGATGTGGCCAGAAGGAATGGGAACAATCAGAACAGTATGAGTTAATCAGGGAAGCTCTTCCCAAGCAAACCTGCAACACTTTATTTAATCTCACAAGAGTTGTGTATACATTTGTATGAGAAGGAGTAATCAAAAGGAAATAGGGGAAATAATTATTTCAATTTGGAGATAGTCTTTCACCAAGGATTAAAAATGTGCCACCTACAACAGTTGCCAGTACTTTGGTGACACCCCTGAAGGTGGTGATCAGCTTAATGGATGGTAAAAATACTGAGGTTTCATGAGATTACTATTCATTTGCAAGATTTCAATCTTCTCTTAAGAGACTGCAGTATTTCAGGCAAGAATGCTGAAATGTCACAAAATTAGTATTATTCCTTCCTTCCTTCCTTCCTTCCTTCGAAAGAAGCTGTTTTAGTGCCTACCATACTAAAAGGGGTTTAATTTTTGCATTAACCTGACATGAGGTTCCCACTGCAACCTGTTCTGGAGGCCAAAGTTTCCCACCTTCCCACTCTCCTAGGAATTTTTTGTAGTTTCTATTCCTTTGGCCAAGTGATCTTCCATCTCCCTATCCAAGTCTCCCATCCTCACCTCTTTCTCAAAAATAGCCTGATGCTTCTTGGCCAGTTTTTCAGCCTCAGCTGAAAAGTTGTTGCGATGGGCCTCAAGCTCTTTGTCGAGACGCAGCTGGTGCTCATCCAGTTCAGCCCGCAGTTTGTTCTCCAAAGCCAGCAACTGTTTCTGATGTTGACGCCGCATCCGTTTGTAGCCACTCATCTGATCCCGCAGTGCTGAGTCTTGCTCATGCTCCTGGATTTGGCGAGTCACCTGAAAGGAAGAAAAGAGGAAGAGAGAAACAAGAAAATCTAATTTAATCCAAAATTGTGAAATATAAACAACACCATTCATGGGTTTATTACTGGACAAATCTTGCCATGGGGTAAGAGGAACAATACACTGAAGTGTTGTGCACATTCAGATCCGAAGCAGGCAAGGATCTTCTGATCTGGTACGCGCGTCTTCTCACTCCCCGTTGGCTGATCCTTAAAGAATCTTACTTTTTCCTGGATTTGAATGGTGCCTGAAGGTGCTCAGGAAAAATTCCAGTCAAGGGGAGGTTAGGGTGATGGGAGACAGGGCAACAGTAGGCAGTTTCTCACTACCAATGGCACAGCGCAAGACCAAGAAAAGGCACGACTTGTTGAAGGAGCCTCCAAAAAGTAGAAAAAGAGTGTTCACACTGGATCCTATGTACCCTTGTGCACTTCTGATCCAACTATAGTACGCCACTAGTGCACAGAATTTCCCCTTGATGGTAAAGAAACCTAACAGTTTTTCATTCAAGATGACTCAGCTTAGATCAACAAATAAAGGAGTAAAACAGGACACATATATAGAAGAGGAACACTCTTCTACTGCAGTAACATGATTCTTATTTTGGCATAATGATTATTGTTCTTTTGACATAGAAACCATATGAAAACTGAATTCAGCTCTGAAAGGATTCAACACAGAAAAACCAAGAAAAATACTGAATCTCCCAAACATGCCCTCACTAAAGCCCCAGCTCTGTCCACCTGGTATGGTTCTACTCACTTTGCATCCTTTCCTTTCTTTCTGCAATCCTTACCACTATCATCATCCAAATATTAAATATCACATCTAGCTTCTGAAAGTTTGCCACCCCCGCAAAAGCTGTGTTCTAAATTAAATAATGAAATAATCAAATTATTAACGATTCAGAATTTCTTTAATTGCATGGGATTTAATGAAGCAGCTGTCTTAAGAAACAGAAACATTCACATTTTAAATAAATATTGCTGACCTCTCTTAGAAAATTGTTGAAAAAAATGTTCTCAATACAAAAGGTGTAGATTTCTGGCACTTATCCACTGTTCCGGTCTTACCAAAAGAAACTTTAAACTATTTTGTTTGATTGGCTCCTAAATAATGTTAAAAATAATCACAGTTTCCAAAGCCATCTTGCTCACCATGAATATACTTTTTTTTTAACAGGCAGAACTACGGCATTTCAGGTAGATTTCTTTCTGTCCTAATTTTCTCTGCTTCTTCCTTAACAATTGCACTGCAGCAAATTCCTACAGAGAGCTCCAGATGCCACAGACATTGAAACTTTACTAATACATTAAGAGAAAGGAAGAAGAAGGTTTTGTAGGCAGCACCACTAGCAATTTATGAAGCCACCAGGAAAGGAACAAGGCTGGCAAAACAAAAATGAAAGGACCGCATCCAACTGAGATCACGTTTTGTGTAGGGGTGAAGGTGCTGGACCAGAAACAAGGAAACTATGAGTTCTAGTCCTCCTTTAGGCATGAAAAGCAGCCAGTGACTTTGGCCACACTCTTAATCAGCCAACCCATGTCACAGGGTAGTTGTTGAGGGAAAAATAGAAGGCGTGACCCTTCCCTTCCCTGTTGAGGGAAAAATAGAAGGCGTGACCCTTGAGTTGTACAAAATATGAAGGCAGGATATGAATCTAATAATACAATAAAATATAAGCAAGTTTCTCCCCTCACCAGAGAAGCTGTACGAATGGTGGCAAAGTGATCTCGGTTACGGCAGTAGGCACGACGTCGGGCGGCTGACGATGAGCTCTGGGGCTCCATTTCCGGCTGGTAGGGATCATCATACAGATTGTCATGGCCCTGAAAAGCATTAAAAAGCACGTAAGAAGCTATAGGCCTTAGCTTCTAACACTGCCTCTGCACATTTTCCTTTAAAAGGCACATACAGAATATAGAGCTGGGAGATCAAACAGGACTTCTCTATGAATAATTTAGGATTAGCCAGTTTTAGGAAATGGAAGTGTGAAAGAGAGTGGAGCAGGACCACAAACTGTTATAGAGAGTACTATAGAAGGCGTTCCAAGATTTCAGAAGTTTAAAGTAATATAGTGCCTAAGGCAATCTTCCAAACTTGATGCCATCCAATGTGTTGTGGCAGTAATTCCTAGAATATTAAGCAACTGGAGGTTGTATCAGATGAACATCTGTGCCATGTTGAAGAAACCTAGGTTGAGGCCTCAAATTCAGTCATGTTTCCAGTTTTAAGCATAAAGCAAGATCATGTGGACAGCCCAGATTAAACATGAACAGACTAGGCATTTTTTATCTAGTTGGGTTTCCTTCAACTGCTGTTTCCAAAGTATGTAGAAATTTAGCTGCAATCCCAAGAACTGTGGACAGCTAGGAAATACTAGTCTAGAAAAAAAACAAAGGAGGGGAAAGTGTACCCACCCAAGTCTAAGTTACTCAACATAAGGAAGCAAGTAGGATGTAATGATCCACTGGATTCCAATTCTGTGATCATCAACATGCTTCTCTCTCTTCCTCCCATCCCCCTCTGGACTTCCATTTTCTCTATCAACCCTGGTGTTGTTTTTTGTTTCATCACAACGAGGTGAAGGATACTCCAAATTCAAAACTGAGCTTTTCCCTTTATTTTCTCAGGATACCCATATCTTTATGGCCCATTTGCAGGGAGGCTTACATTTTCTATCACTTACATTTTCTATCACATGCTAGAAAATATTCCACAATGTTTCCCAACCTTCGCTTTATTCTGAAATTGACATTTGACTGCTCTTGCAGAAGCACACTGAGTTCTATACCGGCAGACGGTGGATGACGGAGCTATTGGAGGTGACGGTGTGCTCGCCTTCCTGCATCATGGCAATCTCAGCCCCGTCATCATCATCTGAGGCGTCAGCCAGGCTGTTAACGCTGCTGCTCTGACTGCTGGCACTAATGGACATACTGGGTACCGAGTGGCTGCTCTCCATGCTATTGATGGTTCCTGTCCGGTGAAGAAACTGCTCTACTTCCTGAAACAGAAAAAAGGATTAAATGAGAATGAGACAGGTGATACTGCAAACAACTGCTTCTTAGAGGGAGGGAGGGAGGGAGGGAGGGAGAGAGAGAGACAAACAGACAGACAGACAGAGTATATGTGTGTGTAGGGCAGGGGTCTTCAAACTTGGCCCTTTTATGACTTGTGGACTTCAACTTCCAGTGTGCCTGGCTGAGGAATTCTGGGAGTTGAAGTCCACAAGTCATAAAAGGGCCAAGTTTGAAGACCCTTGGTGTAGGGAATGGTCTTGGAGTAAGGAAGCCTCCTGCACTGTTACTCTCATGATGGTGAGAGAATTATATGAGCTGAAGTTCAAGAAAGCCAGGGAGAACTGCATTAGGAAACGTGGGGAGACAACAACAGAAACCAAAAGGGAAATCTTAACCTCTTCCTCTTCTGGTGCCTCTGCATTTGGACCATTCTGAGCCTCCTGGAAGAGGATTTTCTTCATCTTGCGGTACTGCAGATTGTCAAGCTCCCTCACTGCATCCTTGGTCCTCTGAATCAGGTCCATGATAACCGTCTGGGGTCGCTCCCTCAAGAGAAAGCGATGCTGTGGAGTCACAGGAAGTAATAGCATGAAACCAAGGAAGTAGGTCTGCAAAAGGTCCCCGAAGCTATCCACTGAACTCTTAGAATTTGTGATATGACCAATCCTTTCCCGCTATTAAGTACACTCACAGGGTTGGGATAACAACTACTGAGATTTCTTGGGACCTAATAACTACATTATTTTAACAACAATGTATAATTACTCTCAATTTAACTTGAGTAAACCTAGATTTAGCATGTAATGGTTACTCAAGTCCACTTAGGAACAAAGAATGAGAGAAACTCAAATACTTTGGAAGACAGAATAACTCATTGCTTATCAACAACTTAATAAGGAAAAAAACCCAACCAAAATCAATGCTAGGTGTACACTTCCAACACACAATTCTATGAATCCAGTGTGAAGACTCAGTATTTATCACGGGTCTGTGGGGAATAAATGGTGAAGTGTGTTATTTATTAGGGTGTTTCCCTAGAAACATCTGTACCAACATTTTTCATGGATTACCATTTCCCGATGCTAGCTTTCCTTTAACACACTCTTCTAATTTAAATATCTAGTGTTCTTATCTTTAACTTCTTGTTATTGTCCCAGATGGGATAAAATGAGTACAACTTCCACAGCTACAGGCATTGTATGCTGGGGATGGGCAAAAAAGGAATCTTTCAGGAGTTGAAAACGGGTGGAAGATACCTTAAGCAGCACATCAGAGGTTGGACGGTCCTGGGGGATCTTCTGTAGGCATGAATCCACAAAATTTCGGAAATATTCAGACCTGAAAAAAAAAAACAGGGAAGAAAGTCAGGGATTCATCTGAATCTATAAACCTCTCTTTTTTTTTGCAAGCTTAAAGCCATTTGTGGAGTTTTCCTTACCAGTGACTAGATTGCAGCAGTGGTGAATCATTCTGGGCGATGTGGTATAAGGCACTCATAGCATTCATGTTAAAGAGGGGTGGTTTGCGCTCCGCTGAAGATGCAAGGACAGCTAATGTTAGCACCAGCACTCGTGTTTTTGCAGAAAGCCCTCTTCCACATCACTCCCCCCATAACTCCAACCTTATAAGGCAAGTAAGCTCATTCCATACCAAGTTCAATGCAAGTGATGCCAAGTGACCAGACATCCACCTTGCCATCATACTGCCCCTCATCCATGGCTAGAATCACCTCAGGAGCCATCCTAGAAAGAAATCGCAAGATAAAACAATCATACATTGTGACTTAGCAACGGCACACGTGGTTACTTAAGAGCCTGAAAGATTATTGCACCAAAGACGCACGACCCTGGACATAGACCACAAAGTACTGCCAAGTTGTCAATGTTGCTATTAATCAAAGAGGGGAAATTATTAAACACGTTAATGTGTATTATTAATACAAATATATAATTTATTTCATTTTCTTAGACCCCATTAATTCTTAAAATGAGGCTCCAAAGCATGCCATTTAAAGTTCACATATGGCGCCTCCCAAAACTGGAACACTCCTGAATTACACCCTCCAATCTTTGACCTACAAAAGGAGAAGACTTCATAACTTTTTTTACAATCAACTGTTGTTAAACTACACTGGGAGTCTTTGCAAAAACCCAGGGAACCCACATTTCTAATTACCAATTTCTGTAATTTCTTCTTGTTCAAAGAGCCAGGGAGTCTCCAATGCATATCTACTCCCTCACTGTCTCTTCAGCCACATCTTCGCTCCTCCCAGTGGCTAGGATATGGGGATATGGCCAATAAAGGCATTCCTGCTCTGTTTCAGATTAAACAAAAATCTCATTCTGCCAGCTTACCAATATGGGGTGCCAACAAAGGAGTTAGCAGGAGCAATTATAGAAGCTGAGCCAAAGTCCCCCAGCTTCACTTGTCCTGGTTCAGTCAGAAGGATATTCCCAGCTTTCACATCCCTGAAAAGACAGGCACAGTAATTAAAAACTGAATAGAGAAGCAGAGAACACAGTGGAGGAAAATGGGCAGCAAGATGAAAAAACAGTGCGAGCGGCAGGAGAAAGCAGGAAGACAAAGATTAGAGCAACATTTATATGGACAAGGAGGACCAGGAGAAAGAGAGAGGGCTACATTAGCAAACTTCTATATGGGTAATGGCCTCTGAGTCTCAATAATTTGATAGCAACAAGTGAAAGATTTCTGCTCTATTTAAATTAGGCTGCCGAAATGACTGACTCCTGAGGTAATTAAGATTTTTTTTTTAGTAGAAGAATGATGTGTATAGCACAGTTCTTAAGTTGAAAAATATATAGGTAGTCTTTTTTTTTTTTAGTGGTCATTAAGCGAAGTGGTTACTAAGTGAAACTGTGACTGCATTTATTATCAGACTTCAAGTTTTGTTTGCTTTACCGACCTGGGAAGGTTGTAAATGTGAGGATTGGCAGTTGTTTTTTCACCAATGTGGTAACTTCCAACAGTTGTTAAAAGAGGCAGTCGCTAAACGTGGACTACCTATATGCAAAATCTGATAGGAAGCAACATGTTTTAACTATATGTCTTTCCCTTAAGTTGTTTGGGATATCGAGGATTTATTAAAATATAAAGCTGATTTGAGAAATTTGAAAACTGTCCAGTGCTGATAATTGAACTAAACTGCATAAAGTGCAACATTTGACTGAAGCATGAATTTGAATGGTAATTTTGCCATTCTGCCTGCAAATCATCTAAAGAGAATAAACGGTAAAATGTAGCAAGAAACAGGGTTGGGTCAGAACGATGCATGGAGTTGACTGAAAAACAGAGTAACAGATTCCGGTACAGATTTCACAATGCAGAGCAACAACTAGATCATATTATCCTACACTAAATGGGTGTTACCAGCAGCAACGTCTCTAAGAGAGTGCAGTCATACAATGTAGAGCTCACCTGTGGATCATATTGTGTGAATGCAGGTAGGCAAGTCCCTGCAGAGCGCCATGTGTTATGGCTGCAATCTCTACTTCCTGCAGTGGCTTCTTGTGCACTAGGAAAGAAGGGATGGAGGAAAGAACATTATTTAAAGGTCTCAGAAAAGCTTTGTGGGAAGACTCTTCAATTGGTCTTGGGACTCACCTTCCAGCAAATCTGAGGCTGAGCCTAGGCAGTATTCCATCACCAGCTAGTGAATTAAGAGGAAATGTTAGCGTAGGGCAAATAAATCCTTCGAACTTCAAACATCCTGTCCCAATCAGGGCTCCGGGAACCCAGAACGCCAATTCCATTTTGTACCTGGCATTTCCAATTCACTTAAGAATGTAAGAACAGCCCCTCTAAATCAGACCAAAAGTCCACCATTTTTGCACCAATGTCATCCAGGCACCTCCAAAAACCCCATGAAAATAAATAGAATACCACTAAAAAAAAAACTGTCCACAGTTTTCAAGAAAGGAGCCACCACTCTATTGCACTGCAATTCCCTCCCTTAAACTGCACTGTTTCAGGCAGAGAAGCAAGAAACCCAGTCATCACTCAGGCTCTTTTCAAGACTTCCCCCCCCCTTACCCAAAGCCCAGTTCATCTGCATTTTCACTGGATTTCTTAAATTCTTTAAAAGGCTTTCTGTAATGTATCACCACAATGGCTCAGAGTGACCTGTTTCACTCTCATCTTACCCATGCTGTATGTTCCCGTAAGTAGCAGCCCTTGTATTCAATTGTGTTTGGATGTCGTAGCTTTTGCAAAAATTTCACCTCCTTGATAATGTCCTGCCATTTCTGGAAAATACAAAAGTGAGCCTGAGCTCCAATATATTTCTATATTTCGAGTAAAGGAGGGAATATTACAAGAAGCCTAGAAAATTTGAAAATCAGGAGATCTGGATTACCTAGGCCAGGGAGAGGCTAGAAGTTAATGGTCAACACAAACTGTGTTAAAGAGTCTAAAAAGGACCAACCTCATTAGACTGCTTCCCACTGTAGGACATCTTCTTAATAGCCACCACTTCATTGTTGCGTATGTCTCTGGCCTGGGGAAGATAAAGAGAATAAACCAAAGAAGGATGGTGAAAATAACTATCAGCACCCACAGACAGTCAAGTTCAGAGAGAAACTTTGTTCCTATGCCTGGAAAAAAAATACCATTCAAAAGGAGTAAATTTTACATCTCACGGTGAATCAGGCATTCTTAGAGCAGAGCTGCCTATGAGGCCAGAGATACGTGGGACTGACGATATCCACTTAAAGTTATAACATCTCTACTAAATCAGACCAGTTCATCTTCCCACTTCTGATCATGACCAATCAGATTCCCCCTGAGAAAGCCATTAGCAAGATGTGGAGAAAGTCCTTGCCACTATTGCTCTTCAACATTTAACATTCAGTAGCAGGGGGTCTCCTGGTGGGATGGGACCCAGAAGCAGAACTGATTCAGCTGTAAGCAAGGCCAACGGGAAAGAGTTGTGTTAAATGATCTTGGCAAGATTTTGAGCATGAGCATCAACACTCCTTTGGCACTCACAAAGTAGACAGCTCCAAAACTGCCATGACCAATCTCCCGCAGGTCAACAAAGAGCTTTTCAGGGTCATCCTTGAAGAACAGCTCAGCCACTTCAGGGTCCTTCAAACTGCCAGCCCGGGCATTAGACGGCATGGCGGCCGTGGATGAGGCTGGACTTCACTGTTGCTGTTCTCCTAAAGCGGGAAACAAATATTAACTGAACCAGCTGGGTATAAATAAGGTAATTTATTCTTATTTATAAGATTGTAATTCAGTGATATCTGATGCCACCATCTTGCTGTGGTAAAGCAAATCCTGAGATCCTTGCTAGAAGGGTATAAATATACGAAAATTATACTCCCATGTGAAGAAGTGGGTTCAAGGCCACATGCAACCTTGACAAAGCCTTTTCAAAAGGAATCTGTAAGCACTGGCTCCTATTCACAGAAATAAGAGATCTGAAACAAGGTAATCAATGAGAGATGTCTATAGCGGGAAGGCCATCAATGCCAAATGGAGACAGATCTTGCAGTGATACAGAAGGTAAAATAGACTTCTCTTGTTCAAATTGGGCTTTTGCTATTTATGTGACAGCATTCAAGTAGTAATTGTTAGGAGACTAAAGTACAAATATCAGCTTTACTTATCTCTACATTCCCCACTTTTCTAGCTCTAGCTCAAAGTATGTTTGTTCTTTATTCTTTCTATGAAAATCCAGGAGTTTTGATAAAGCTATACCTACTTTCCATAGACACAAAAGTCACAGCAGATTTGCTCCTAATTTTTGACCACTAAAATATTCTCCATTGATTGCTACTTTAATGAGAGTACATTTTCTCTCTTATACAGCGACTCATGTTTCAGTCTTGTACTTGTACACCCACATTTATATTGCAATGGGCACACACTTCCATTCAAGTAATAAAATTCCCATCTACTCAGTTTACCAGATTTGTTATTTGCATTAATTTCTGCACTATCTTCATTGAAATGAAAGGAGATGAAGAAAATAGGATTCTCTATTTAAAAAAAATACAAGCCTTTGGAGGGTTTGCTAAATATTTTCAGTTTTATTTTTAACTGAATGTTATATTAACTGAGTCCAGTTCAATACTATCATGTCTTTTTGTCCACTATAACTACTCTGCTGCGCTTAAGCAACTGCTTCTTATGTAAAATGAAGAAGTTGCCTATAAGGGATTAAAAGGAATTATAGGAACATAGACCAAGGGATTTCTAGAGCCTTGGAACAAAATTTTACTGGACTTGTGGTATTTGTTAGCTGGGAAGCAAACAATTTAGTCCTTTACAAAGAATGCAGCAAGTATGGAAGTTGGATATTTATGTATAATCCTCATACAGGTACCTCAATCTCTTCATTATTGCACAATGTCACCCAAGTCTTAACTTTTATGAACATCACATGCATGCACATGAAATATTACATCCTATTAAGCAGATACCAAGAATGTAACGAGTTAGAGAAAAAAGTGTACAACTCACGAATGAAGGCAAATATATGTGTCCCAGGATAATGTTATAAGATCCAATCTGGGTAGGTCACTGGGACCAAGGTTTAGTTTCCTGAGCTTCCGGACTCGTCCTGGAGCCCATCCTCGGGGAACTTATTTATGTTAGACATTCCGTTAGAGACAAGTTCCCCGGGGATGGGCTCCAGGACGAGTCCAAAAGCTCAGGAAACTAAACCTCTAGTCCCAGTGACCGACCCAGGTTGGATCCTGCAAGCGCGCAACTGATTTTGGAACATGTGGGAACAGCTGTATCAGATGACATCCCCCCATACAAAAACATTGCTCCTTCTCTGTAAATGAGTCCTTCCTTTTGAGTGAGGTAATTTTTCTGTATTCTTTCCCCATCTTCCAGTCTGCTATCTACAGCAAATTTCTCCAATATGATTCCCTCCAAGTGCACTGGACTACAGTTTCCACCCAACATCGCCAATAACTTGTTGAGAAATCTAGAAATGTATAGATTAATCCCTTTGGTAGGCACATTCTGGCTAAAAGCTATTTACACAAGATTTCTAAAGTGAGCCCTTTAAAGGTTAAAGATATACATTTAAAAACTTGAGCCTGTGATACTTTGAGCCTGTGAAACAAGAAGGAATCAATGTTAAAATATACAAGAATATTTAGTCCAATCACAAAATAACCATGTGAGTAGAAAGTGAGCCTCACTCCAAAAAACAAGAAGTAAATAAATGTGTGTCCTACCAAATAGACTGTTCCTTTTGTTCTCAGTCCAATGGTGAAGAACTTAAGATTCCCAAAATGTCCAACAGAAGAAGCCTGGCAGGGATTCACGAGCAAGAAAACTTGCTTGCCAGCAGTTGATATTAATAACAAGGATTGCAGTTGCAGCCTTGAATGTCACAGAATTGGTATCTCTCATGTCTGGTTCATTCAAAATATCTTCGTAAGTATCCCCATTAAGGATGGCCCAATCACAATTCAGGATCCAATATCTTAATCTTAATCCATGAATAAATTCTGGAAAATGCCTCCTCCTCTGTAGTTAGTTATACCTCAGAAATTTAGCATTTTGCTTATTTGCTCCTCAGAAAATCCATAGAATTTAATTTGCAGCACAAGTGAGCGGCATCCAAAGTTTCCCAGAAGCCAGCTTGTTGCACTCTTCACTGTACTGTGCAATATCAGAACAGGAATACTCAATACATTTTGCAATTAAAACAGTCTCTTTTCTAGAATAAAACGTCTACAAGCTGCCTATCCCCACACTGCTACTATGACTATCAAATGCATGAAGAATAAGGGTATCAATGCAGATCAAATGCTCGACAGATCTAGACCAGAAATGCACAGCCACCTAGATAGGAGGTTTCTCACACCAAGCCTTCCCCCTTGATTGGGTAGCAACTGAGGTGAGCTGAAAAATAAGATCCACAGCCTTGCTGCAACCCTACAATTTGAAGCAACCACACAGAGTCCCTCCTGTTCACTCTCTGGGATGGGCAGTGGTTGCTGGACTGAATCCAGGGGGCTGAAATGAAAAATAAGGAAATCAACAGTTTGCAGGCGGGTTATGCTGGTCAGAGGAAATCCTTGCATTGTTCAGTTGCTTCCCTGGGAACAATCTAAAGAAAAAAAGGCAAAGCGTAAAGCTAGCCTTGGCAGTGATACCACTGGCAAGAAAGCATCTGGAAGGATTCCTGTTGTGGTGGTTGCTGCCTGGCTGCACCAAAGTGGCCGAAATTTAAGGCAGGCCCTGGAATTCAGTTTCAAATTAGAGATAGAAGGGTAGGGAGACCAGTCACAGGGAATCATCTGGAGTTCACCTTTAGAACAGCAACTTGAGAAACAGCATGTATCCTATCAAAGGAGCGCAAGAACTGATTAATCTCTTAAACATGAACTTGCTTCCTGGCAGGCAACAAAAGTGGAAGACATTTCACCCATTGGTTTTAAATGGAGACTCATGAAGTAGTTTGTATGTAAGTCATGAATCCTAAAAGTTTTTTTTTAAATAATAAAGCAGCCCACCACTTTGAACTGAATAGAATCATTTTATCAGCTGTGTTGAAATGCTACATTTTCAAGAATTCACAGTGACGGAATAACTGAGTATACTTAACTTGAAAACAATTTACAACATTTCAAAGCATAATGTGCACTATAACTAAACTAAAAAAAACCTGAATGGAAAAAAAAACTCTCCCTCAGGAGAGTCCAATTTATTTTTATTTCACATATACTGCAGAGTGGGACTAAAAGCCACATCGACAGGAGGAAGGACCTTCTCCTTAGATGAAGTTACTGACAAAGCCACGCATGCTGCTTTTAAAGCATATTATTTTGGTCCGCATGTTTCATCTATTTATAGTGAGAAATACTAGAGGCAAAGCCTCCAGTGAACTAAGCACCCATCATCAGAAAGATATGGATTCTTCAGCATCTGCATGAAGTTGCTACAGGAGCTCATCTGGTGATTCAGGCTCTCATATCGACAATATTTTTGATGATACTCAACTATACATTGTGACCCCAGGCTGGAAATATTATCTAAGTCTTGTCCCAGTGTCTTGGAGGTTTTGAGGATCTAGATGGGACAGAACAAGCTTAAATTGAACTCTAGCAAGACACAGCTGCTGTTTGTATGTTGGGATTTATTTATTGAATGAATGAATGAATGAATGAATGAATGAATGTATATGTTGCCCACCCCACTATCCATATCCTCTACGTCCCTTGGTTTGTCTCTGGATGAGTTGAGCTGCCTCTGAAGGAGCAGGTTTGTGACTTGGTGGCCTTCCTGGATTTGTGACTCCTGCTGGATCAGCAGTCAGATGTTGTGGTGAGAGGGCTTTCCCCCAGCTTTGGCTTCCATGCCAATTGCAGCCTTACTTGGGACGGGAGGACCTGACTAGAGTGGGTCATACTGTCACCATCGCCTTGTTAGATCACTGCAGCGTACACCACATTTCAGGTACAATTTAAAGTGCTGGTTTTAATCTATAAATCCATCCATGGCTTTCTGCCAGGTCACCTAGAGGACCATCTTTCCCCACCAGAATTACCTCTGATCACTTTGTGCCAGAAGCAGCACTGGGTTGTCCTCCACTTAAAAAATAAAATAAAATCCAAAACACAATTTTTCTATGATGAGCCTGGCCTTCTGGAATGGCATTTGGTTGGAGATGTTAGTTATCTCCAACATAACCTGCCCTCTGGAAAAAGTTGAAAACAAGAGCTTTTCTAGATGGCTTTTGAGGCCAGATATTGTATTGTTTGAAGATTTACACAGTTTTATTTAGATTGTCGTGTTTGTTTTTGTAAGCTACAGATAAAGTCTTTTTATGATGGCAGCACAATAGAAATCGGATGAATAAATAAATGTTGGGGTAAGATTCTCACATAGATAGACAGTATGAAAATAGTTTTTAGGCAAGAAAATGGACCTTCGAAACTTTCCAACCTTGGAGATTTAAAGAATGGCAGACTATAGGAACTGAAATTCTTTAAGTACCTGGGCAATAAAGAGCAATAGTTCTCAAGCTGGCTAGGGAATTCTGGGATCTGAAGTCTCAACCTGGCTAGGGAATTCTGAGACCTGAAGTCCACATACTGTAAAGTTGATAAGGTTGAGAAACACTGGTAAAGAGGATCTCAACATCT